TTTGATTATAGCCTCCATAACTTTACCAGTTATTCAAGTTAGACTGATTGGCCTATAGTTTGACAAATTACTTCTATCCCCCTGCTCAAGGACCCGCAGACATGCTGAGGCTGGGTTTAAACCGGCAACCTTGTGATTACAGGCAGATAGGCTTAGCTCACTGAGCCACACGCTGCCCCTTAATATGTAACTATGTAACTTAGTTACTGTGTTATAATGAGCATTGTCCATATGAGTGTATTGCACATGTTATATGTTATATGTCCCTTTGGTCTGCTGGAGGGTTATAGTTATAATGCATGAAGCCCTTCTCTTGAATCTGGTGGTGTAAATGTCAGTGGTGGTGAGTAAGCTACTCCCCACCACTCTCTGAGCTGCCTTCACTACCTTGTGCAGTCCTTTCTTTTCTGCAGCCATGCAATTGGCATGCCATACTGTGATGCAGAAAGAGAGAACCACACACACCGCACACCTGTAGGAAGAGTTCAGGACTGTACTCCTGAGTCCAGCTCACCTCAGCTTCTTGAGGAAATAGAGGCGCTTATGGGCTTTCCTGATAAGTGACAATGTATTTATAGTCCAAGTGTGGTCCCTGGTGAGGTGTACACCCAAGTACTTGAAGCTGGAGACTACCTCCACAGGTGCTCCTCCGACATGCAGGGGGGGGGAAATCATTATTTTTCCTGCACCAGTCCTCCAAATGCTCCACCTCCTGTCTGTATGCGGATTCATCATCATTCCTGATGCATCCCACCACTGCCGTGTCATCCGCAAACTTCAATATCTTACAGCTGTGATGTTTACCATGGCTTAATATTTTGTTGAAGCACCTTTGGCTGCAATCACAGCCTCAAGTCTTCTTGGGTATGCCTCTACAAGTTTGGCACACCTGTTTTTTGGGATTTTCTCCCATTCTTCCTTGCAGATCCTCTCAAGCCCAGTCAGGTTGGATGGGCAGCGCCGGTAGACAGCCATTTTTTAGGTTGTTCCAGAGGTGTTTGGTGGATTCAAGTCCGGGCTCTGGCTGGGCCACTCAAGGACATTCACAGACTGCTCCTGAAGTCACTCCTGGCTGTGTGCTTCAGGTCATTGTCCTGTTGTAAGATGAATCGTCACCATAATCAAAGTTCCAGAGCACTCTTTTCTTGAAGAATCTCTCTATATTTGGCTGTTGTCATCTTACCCTCTATGCAGACTAGTCGCCCAGTTCCTCCCGCAGAAAAATATCCCCACAGCATGATGCTGCCATGCTTCACAGTAGGGTTGGTGTTAGCCAGGTGATGAGCAGTGCCTAGTTTTCTGTAGACTAGGGCTGCACGATTTGGGGAAAATATCGAATCATGATTTTTTTGACAGAAATTGCGATTACGATTTGATTTGCAATTTAATTTTTTTATGTCAAGCTTCAGTTCAATATTCAGTGTGTAGTAATTTTAAAACAAATGACACAGCATGAGATACCATCAGTATTAACTGGTCTATATTCTAATGCAAGGATGAGAATTTAAAGATGTTATGTGTCAAGTTAAAGTAATAATGAAAACAATTGCAGCAAAAAGAAAAAATAGCGATCCCACACCAATGAACAAGCAAGAACTACTTCGGTGTATGCAGCCCTTTTGTTTGCGCTATTGTGATGTTTGCTGCTGTTATTAACACCAATAACACTCAAAAATCCATAATGTTCATAATAGAGTGGCTGTTCTGTCCTGAAACCGTAAAGTTGGAAATTTTTTAACGTAGTATGCATTTTATAAAATGTTGAATAAATTGAAGTCGTTTATTGGTGATTTCATGTTGGTCGAAGTTTCCCCTTTTTAGCAACTGTATATGGTTATTTTCTATACAAATCAATTCAGATGAAACAAAAAAAGTACGTGTCATGGTTGCAAACTCTTTCAGACTCTCACGCATGAAATCTTATGGCAAATCTATACACTCATCTAAAGGATTATTAGAAACACCATACTAATACGGTGTTTGACCCACTTTCGCCTTCAGAACTGCCTTAATTCTACGTGACATTGATTCAACAAGGTGCTGAAAGCATTCTTTAGAAATGTTGGCCCATATTGATAGGATAGCATCTTGCAGTTGATGGAGATTTGTGGGATGCACATCCAGGGCACGAAGCTCCCGTT